CATAAAAGTGTTTAATCAGTTGTGGCTTATAATTGTATCTGCTTATATTTATTCGAGTAAATTTCCTTCTGATCTCTCCATAGCCTTGCCCTGCTGCGATCGCGGACTTTCGCGCTGTGCAATGTGCCGCTTTCAATGAGGTTGATTTTCAGGGACAAAAATACACGTGGGAGCCATATATCAAAGGTTGGTGAATAAGTGAAGATAGTTACATTTTATAAATAAAGAGTTCTAAGTAAAAAAAAAACAACAAATGTATATACATGCGAGATTTTTTCCGCCTGTTCATGTTTGAAATTAAAATTTTTCGATCCAAAAATTATAATAAAGAAATAATAATTTTTAAATCAAAGCATTACCAGATTACTAACAAAAATATCTAAAAAAAAGTTTTATTAATTTTTGTCATTAAATTTTCCACAGGGCCAAAATTTTTCCTTCCGCTGTAAGAAATAACAGATATATAACCATATTTTAACCAAAACTTAAATTTTGTTCAATATGAGTGGTTTTTGTTATACCATTTTTCCTTCGCATGTGAACTGAAAAGTGACGTTACGTTATTTTGCATTTTTGGTGACTATATAATGCATTAAAAAATATTAAATTAATATCAAATTATTATTAATATTTTTTTATCTCGAAAATCTTAACACAAAATTATTTTCGTATTTCCTATTAAAAAAAAAATAATAATAATTCCAAAGCCGAATTGAAAAATAAAGACATGGCTTATTAGCCTAATCGACTAATTTAACTTAACTTTGATTTCGGGACTAAAAATTAGATTACCAAGTTTTCATCTAAAAAATTTGAATTAAAAATTAAATAACAAAATCAAATTTATTAATAATTTCGCAAGCCTGGATATATACATACTTATATACATTGCATTTATAAGGTTTTTTGCCGCTCAGTTTCTTTGCTTCTAAACTCTAATTTCCTTTTAATTTCCTTACTGTCAGAGGATGCCGAATGTGAGCTGAACTGCAAGCCAAAGGGTATGAAATACTTTGCCACACTCAACTCGTCGGTCATTGATGGTACGCCGTGCTTTAAGCCAGCTGAATATTATCGCTCGAATTATAGACAGCGTGCGATGTGTGTAGAGGGAGTTTGCAAGGTGAGTACTACAAATAATAAAATAATATACAAAATTATAATAAAATCGTATAACTCAATTATTGAAGGTACAGCAAGCATAGTACCCACTAAGAGAGGGTTTAGATATTTTTGTGGTTAAAAATATGTAGTTTTGATAGAAAACAAAAAAAAAAAATCGTTTCGTAGAATACTTTATGTTAAAATTTCGGTAACTCCTGGCGAACTCCTCTAGTTCTAATACTATTTTCCATAATAAAAATAGATAACTTAAATTCATTGCATATTTTTAGGCGTTTTTGGATTGCTTGCTCCACTCAAAATTGGTATTATATTTATTAATGTAAAGTGCTGCTGTAATTAGCAGTACATAATTTGTTTAGCTGTTAAATAACAGCATAAATTCTTGCTGCTGCTGTTCGCTAACATCCAGTTCTAACCAGAGAGGGTTGAAAGATATTTCCGCAGAGAATGTTAATGTAAATTGCTATTAACATTTTCTGCTGTGCATATGTGAATATGAATTGCATTTAACAGTTTTTGCTGTTCTGTCAGATACTGTTAATGTAAATTGCGATCTGCTGCAATCACAAACGATCGCAATTGAACTCTGCTGTTATTAACAGCAAAACATTTTTTTGATAATAGTAAAAGAAATTAATGTTTTTGGAGAAGCATAGTAAATACTTGGCAGAGTGCATAATTAAGCTAACCCAACCTGGCAGTATGTGCTAAAAATTGTGCAAATTAATTTTGTGTTTGTTATTCTTGCATTTTCGCTATTTTGTGCCATTCGTGTTACCTACTCTATAAATCTTACAAAAAAAAAAAAAAATATATATTTTTTTTCTTCCACAAATTATTAAAAACGACAGCATTGCCACTTCAAGTTTCGAAGCGAAATTGCGAACCGAACTGTTTTAAATTAATTTTGCTTCACTAAAATAAGCAGTCTCCCATATCTGAAGATCCCCGTGACCGAGACTATTTATACACACGTTAAGTGTTTAGCCAAACAAACTTCTAAATGAAAAGTAATCGAGATTTCAAAGTGGCAAGTGTTTAGCCAAACAAACTTCTAAATGAAAAGTAATCGAGATTTCAAAGTGGCGAGAATTGTCTCTATTTGACTACTAGTCTGTATATTAATTGCACTGCAATAAATGCCCGTTGGTTGCGTGCATACTAGACACACTTATGTAATGCTGTGCACACATGAATAGAGAACTTCTTTTATCCGCCCAAGTAGAAACTCCCCAAGCGCGCTTGTGCTGGCTGCAGCTGTTTTCAATCATTTCAAATTGCATAATTTGCCACAGCGGTGTGAGCGCTTGTCACTTTCGCCGCGCTCGCAAATCAAATCAAGTGGAATGGAAAGTATTTGCCAGCCATTTCGTTTGAGGAAATGAATAACGCGCTAAGGCACACAACTATAAACAATACAAGCTGCTTAACCATTTGACCCATATTTTGTTGCACTGACAAATAAAAGGCATAAATCAATAAAATATCTTGCGCTGCAACTCAAATTACGATTCAACCGCAGATTTTCATTGCATCAACGCCTCAATGTATGCCACACACAACTTACCGTCGATTGCGCACTCGCATTAAAAGAAATCTTTCATGTGTGTGTTTGCAAGTGTGCGCGTAGACATTAGTGTCGAGGCGAGCATAATTTGCCATTTTGCGGTTTCAGTACTTTGCAGGGGTTGTCTGCTGTTGAAATGCCTAAGAAATATGCAATCGCTGCGAGAGGTGCTTTTGTCGTCACCTTTGTTGGTGCTTTGCCGCTTGATTGCATTTTAATCGTTTTCAATTTGTATTCAATTGCAAAAGCCACAAAAGTAGTGCGCTAAAGCGCTTTTCTTTTGGTGTGTATGTGTGTCTTGATGGGCAAGGTGAATTTTAAATACAAGTTTATTGTTGTATTTTGATTGTAAAACTGTAAACGCTTTGAAGAATTGCTTACCATTCTCAGGGTTGTAGAGACCGTCAAAGATCGTAAAAAACATGTTAGTTTTTTTGAGAAAGGTTTCATTGAGATTATATTGGCAATTTTTCCGCTAGAGATCAGTAAAAAACTGCGACTAGTAATTTTTATATGCTTCTCTTGATGCCAATTTTACTCCATTAAGCGAGTTCTGCATTTACCGAATCAAATGTTAGTCCGATGGTGCAAGATATAGGCTATATGGTGGATGCATCAAAACTTTCCAGCCAAGTTCTCCCAGTTTTTGCCGAGTCATCAAAGGTGTGTGTGGTCCTGCGTTGTTTTGATTGAAGACGAAGCCTTAGAGTTCTGGTCGTTTTTTTCGAATGCTTGCTTCAATCTCATCAGTTGTTGACAATAAAATGTAGAATCAATCGTTTGACCAGGCTGCATGATTTCTTTTCAATCAAAACACTCAGCATAACCTTTCGAAGCATCAATCCTTGCGTTGTGACCATTTGTTGAGCCATGATCACACATCACACATTATTGTCGTAGTTGTTTCATTTTTCGTTTCCTGTTCCCATTCGCTCCAGAAATGGTTCGATTTAATTTCGTTTCAGCAAATAATCGCAGATGTTAGTTCGGTTCATTAAAATTTTCACAGAATATTCATCCCAAACATCGAGCTTATTTTTGCCAGCCTTTCTTAAATGGTTCAAAGCCGTTTGATGATGAAAGTTAAGTTCTTTAGCGATGTCAAGAATATGTTTCAAACGATTTTTCAAAATTCAATTATTTTACATAGATATTTTCCGGAACCACCATGCAAGCTGGCTCAGGCAAAACTGAAACTTTAAACGTATTTTTCTCGAAAGTGTCTTGACGGTCTTCTTTATTTACTTTTCTACATATATCTATACCATCAAATTAAATTTTTAACTATTTTTAAAAAATCATAAAAAAGTGGAAAATGGTTTTTAACGACAGTCTTCACTTCGTGAAACATTTTTTTTAACTTTACCTTATTTTCAGTTATTGCGACATTATTCTAAATTATTACTTTTTACTTTTTCGGGTTTCAGTTTGCTAGGAGGGTTGAAATTGTGGGTATGGTCACGTGTAAATTATCTGAGACCTGTCACTTTCTTCTTCTTTAATGGCGTAGACAACACTTACATCACTTTATTAACTGCTAATTTTTGAAGTTCTTAACTTTTTTATGTGTGGAATGAATAGCAAAGGTATGAATTGCATTTTTTGCGACCCAAATTCCTGAAAGTAAACATTCCATATAACTGATTAATATCTAAATAATGCATACATAACAATACATTTTTTCTTAGTTCATGCAGACTATCAGGTTCAGAAAATAATTTAGTCATCTGCCACATAAACTTTTATTCTCTGCTTTCTCATTCCCAGCATCGCCAGCGCATTTCATTAAGTGCCGGCTCCCATCTCTTTGTGATAACATTCGCATACATACATACATATTCACATAAAGTGATGTACATACGCATACCATTTAAGAAGCCACATTGAACCACAAGTAGCTTTCGCTTTCATGCCCTGTTAATTATTTCTTCACCTTCAAATTCTTATCGACAAAAGTCAGTGTAGCAATTTTATGAGGTTTCGGCGTTCGGCTGCCTTAAGTGGATGTGTACATAAATACATGAAGAAGTAGAGTTTTGTTGTTGTTGTGATTGCAAAGCGGTGGTTGTTTCTTTGTTTTTCTTGTGGTTTATGAGTTCTTTTAACTCTGCAGAAGTGCGACACCATCGTGGGAGTTTCTGTTTGTTTGCAAGCTGGTGCTTGCTACTTATGTGCCTATAAGAGGAGCTTATATGATTAATTCTATATGACACAACCTTATTATTATTATTATTACCTTTAAGAAAACTGTCAATATATATGCAACATTGAATTGAACGAATTTTCTTTGAAGGCTCAAATACTGAATAGACGCGGGACTCGATTTTCTAAACTATGTAGTAAATTAGAGATCACTACAAAGTTCTTATGTTTTCTTCTATATTCAGCTATGATATGCAATAGCTATGTTTCACTCATTAGTTAAAAATTTAATGAGACCAGTCCTCCCCCTGTTAAGTTGATAATGAACAAGTAAAATATGTACACTAGGCTGGTTGAAACCGCAAACGCTGGAGAAAAATATTTTTTATTTATGATACTTGCGTTTGGTGTTCTGTTATTAAAAACTGTGAGTCACTAAACCACAAAATTTGTAACTGCGGCATTCTTCTTACGCACAATGGTCTCTACCGATGAGTTATATATCTATGAGTGTATGTAGCCTTAGTGAGTTTAGGGCGTTACTATTAATAAGCAGTTTGTAGGTTTTTGTTGAGTAAATATTGTTGAACACATTTTTCTAGGAATAAATAAGCTTTCATACTATTAAGGCAGCCAATATTAAGACGCACTCTATAGTGAAGGAGAAGCTCATCCAAACTTAATAAAAATGATGCGGGATTCTCATTTGTGATTTGCATGGTTTTGAATACTTGTATACTAAAGGTATAAAAGAGGGATATAAAACAGGAATAACTAAGCTCGAAGTACGTTCAGAGTTAACACGTGAACTGTTAACTTGAGTGCTTGGAGATAATTGTCCCCAAATATCGAAATGAATTAATATTCGAATGTTGAAATTGACATCCAACATTGAAATAGACCTAGTAATTTATTGCAAATAAATATTATAAAATTTTACAAAAGAAATTTTTCACTTGGCCACTCTAAAAACAGCGCTGAGTCAGCACTCAGCTAAGGGTACATTTCGTTTTGTCGGTACGCGCTAAAAACAAAACAAGCAGTCGACTTCAAGATGCCTCCATTAGACAAGCATTAGAGCTTCATTTACTCCCTAGCGCCAAATTGAGACACCGAGCGTGGCCGACTGAACGACTGATCAAGTGAACTGATTGTGTGTGCGTAAACCAAAAATCGAACTTGGCTACGCTCCGGCAGCGCTGCGGCAGCGAGGCGCGAAGGTGTGCAAAAGTTGTTAAACGTCTGTCCGCTGTCTGTGCGGGCAATCCGTTTGGCAGTGATAGCAGCGA